CGTCGTTTTTGTAAGGGGGATTTTTTTTTATGTGTTTTTGATTTTTTTCAAAAGTCTTCCCTTTTTTTTTTTTTTTTTTTTTTTTTTTTTTGTCTTTTTTTCCGTGTCTGGCAACGGATCGCAACCCTCAGTGTCGCCCCTGTACCGGACCGGGACCGGCAACGGGATCGCAGCCCTCAGTGTTGCTCCCGCGCCTCGCTCAGCCAGTGAGCGGGAACCGGTCTGTATGTGGGATCCGAACCCTCGGCGGGAGCGCCGCCGCGCTTCCCAAGCGGCGCACTATAGCAGTGCGCCACCGGGCCGGCCCAAGTCTTCCCTTATTCTTGAGAGAGATGTTCCAAGACTCCAAGTGGATGCCTGAAACCTTGGATAGTACTAAACCCTGTACATACTGTTTTTTTCTGTACATACATACATATGTACGTAGCTATGATAAAGTTTATAAATTAGGCATGGTATAAGGTTAACAACAATAACTAATAATAAAATAGAACAATCGTAACAATGTACTGTAATAAAAGTTAACGTGAATGTGGGGTGTCTCTCTCTGGCTCTGTCAAAATAACTGAAACTGAGGAAAGCGAAACCTTGGGTAAAGGGAACTACTGTATTCTATAAACTAAGAGGTGTCTTTTTTCTCCTTTAAGTGGATGCGCCTTCAAGAAGAAATAGATCATCTGGTGGTAATACAGTTTTTTGCTTTTTTAATTAGTAAGAAATTGTCCAAATTTTGTGTTTTGTGTGTTTTAATTTTTTTTTTCTTTTTGCCTTAGTTCTTGATGATTATGCACCTGGCTCACATGATGTAGGAGATCCAAGCACTACTAATTTATACCTTGGAAACATTAATCCACAGGTAATATTAGTAAAGTAAGATGAATGTTGGCTTATATGTTTTATGCTTTTGGAAGAAAGCTGCTTTATCAGTTAATAAAAAAGATAAAATCAAGATTCTGAAGTTGGTAAATCTGATGGAACTAGAGAGTCTTTAACATTGTCTCGTAAACCTGAGACTTAGTGGTATGGCCCAAACTGTCTTGCTCTACAGATACTTAAGGGATTGTTTTGTCTCCTTTTTCAGTAACTGGACTGTACTCTGCATTTGAAATCTTTTACTAGGTGCCAATTTTATCTTCATTTTGGAGTCCCTTTTTCTTTTTCTCCTCCTAGCAAACTAGTATGTGTGCTTTTTCTCTTTTATATTTTAATTCTTTTTCTGCTTCAGTGTTGTCAATTATATTATGGAGGATGAAGTGGTAGTTATACATAATATGCTCTTCCTAAAAATTATATGTACGTTGGACCTTATAGCTTATTTATTATTTTCTGTTTTCTCTGCTCTTAATATTGGTAGTTGGGTGCTAGAAAGAGAAAAGATGAGTAAGTCCTTTTTTTCTTTCATTGCCAACAAATATTTTCTCCTTAACTTAAATATGTTAATCACTGCCTGAAAAATGCTGTTAAATGCCTAAACAAACAATTGCTGTAGAACAGCTTGTTTAGATCCTGGGATCTTAAAACAGGAAGAGGGGAGGTAAAATTCCGATGATTTCTGCAGCCACCTTGGCTCCCACCCTGGCATCCTATTTAAATAAAACAATGTTTCTGGTATGAAAAAGATTTGTGAATGCCCCACGAAGGTAGTATTTTACCTGTGCAGAGTTCCTAGTACTTGAGTGGAAATAGTAGCATTAATATGTTGCTCTTCATTTTTTAAAAGCTACATTGCTTTCTGTTGCATAGAATTTTTTTTTTTTTTGTACCAAAAACATGCCCCTTTTAATAGATGAATGAAGAAATGCTGTGCCAAGAATTTGGAAGATTTGGTCCATTAGCCAGTGTGAAAATTATGTGGCCTAGAACTGATGAAGAAAGAGCGAGAGAGAGAAATTGTGGCTTTGTGGCCTTTATGAATAGAAGAGATGCTGAAAGAGCTTTAAAAAATTTAAATGGTAAGAAAATTTTTATTATTCATTTATAGAATATAGACATTTCTTTGGTGTGTAAAAGTATTTACAAAAATTCTAGGGAGAAGATGGACCTGAGATGGAGAGGTTAAAAATGAAAATTAATTCACATCACCAGAAATATTTTCTTTTCTTCTGAGAGTTACCAAAGTGACCTTTTCTTTTTATTTCTTGTAGGAAAAATGATTATGTCTTTTGAAATGAAGTTAGGTTGGGGTAAAGCTGTACCTATTCCTCCACATCCAATATACATTCCACCTTCTATGATGGAACATACGCTTCCCCCACCTCCATCCGGACTGCCTTTTAACGCGCAGCCTAGAGAACGATTAAAAAACCCCAATGCTCCCATGTTACCACCACCTAAAAACAAGGAGGATTTTGAGAAGGTAATTAAAAAAATGTACATAGGGCCGCATCTAATTTGTAAATACTAAATCTGTGGTAGTATTTCTTTTCAACAATTTTGTAGAAAATGTGTAATTCTGTTTGGCAACTCTTAAAGAAATAAGTAGATGTGTTCCCTGCCTTAGCCCGTGGAAACCCTATATTGAAATATTAGGCCATATTTTTATTTGTGACTACCATTCCTTTTTTGACCACTTGTTAAGTTTTTTTTCCCCCCTTGTCCAGTGTTGTATCCAGGTTTGCTTAAGTGCAGTATCTAAATTTACTTTGTTCTGGGAAAATGATACTTTGTATTTGGTTAAGTGACATTTCAGTTAGAAAGACCTCATAAATAAATTGTTTGGATGGCAGCTAGCTAACTTAGTTCTCAAGGTCTTAGGTATTAGAATATTTGAGAGAATATGTGGTTTTTAAAAAAGTTAACTAATCTAGTAAAAGCAAAGGGTGAGTATTTTCTTTTTATTAAACAAAACCAACTTAATTTCAAGTTATAATAATTTGTTGGTTCTATTACAAATTAATGACACTTAAAATGACAGGGCTGGTTTTAAAGGCTTGGGAACAAAGTAGTGAACTGTATGGTCAGAGGCAAACAGTTAATTATTTCACAAATTAAAATCTTTATCTGATAATTCTCAGTGTAGTACCTATTTCAGTGCATTGATGTGCATTCTGGCAGGAATGTTCTGATTCTTTGCATTTGGTGAGCATTTATTGTTCACTGAACACATCCATTTGCATTTATGTAATTGCTTAGTGTATTATTACTTCAAATGCAGTGATTGCCTGCAAAACTTGTGATTAGATGTGTAGTATTTTCAATGCATATGTATATTTTTGCTTGTTACTTGTTAACAATACTCACATATTCTATGTTTATTATCTGATGTGACTTCATATACAGACTCTGTCGCAAGCCATAGTCAAAGTGGTTATCCCAACAGAAAGGTACATGTTTTTCTTTATTATTACTGATCTAAATATAGACAATATCCCCTTCTGAATTAAAAAAAATGGTGTTGAGGAAAAAGTAATATCTTGACTGAGCAATGGTTCCTTCCCAGTACTTTTTGGGGGGATATGTGAAATTTAACTGACTTAAGTATACTTTGCAATTTTATGTCATTATCTTTTTTGTTTTCATTGTTAACCAATGTAGGGAATTTTTAAAGCTTTAGTAGTTAGAATGTGTTTAATAGATCTAATTTGGGTTGTTGGTTTAATAATGTTTGACTATTGTGATGAGAAAATAGATGTTTTAAGTGTATCTTAAATTTTCGATAATGTTAGTTTGATCCAATCTGTTATTTTTTTCTTGGTTTCTGGATTATCTACATTTAATATACAACATTGGTTTGAGTTCTCCTTACTGAAGGCATACTTCGTTTTTTTCCTAATTGATTTTAAGAAGAAATTCCTATTATTTTCATGAACACTGGAGATACTAGAAATTTTTTTTTATGATAACAAAGGTGTTTGGAATTCTTTTATTTTTCTTCCCTTTTTTCTTTTTCAACATACTGTTAAAGCAGAAGAACTCATTCTGTAGGTATACTCTTGCTCAGTCAAGCTAAGCCTTTTCCCAAACACAGGAACACAACACTGGTTGAATAATAAATGAACACAAAAGAATACCAAATTCTCTTTGACATTGGCCTTGGTGAGCAACACCAGCTGAACTGTCTGCGGCAGCGGGGGACCAGGAAAACATCATGGGATGGATTGGGAAAGTATACAGTTTTTGACCAGACATTGGTACGATTGACTCCAGTAAATGTGGTTTTATTATAATTGAGACAATTTTTTGGTTTTTTTTTGTTGTTGTTGTTGCCCAGAATAAGATAATTACCATTTTAAAATAAAATAATGCGACAATTTTTTGGTTTTTTTTTTGTTGTTGTTGTTGCCCAGAATAAGATAATTACCATTTTAAAATAAAATAATGCACTTTAAATATGTCATCTTTTTGTACTACACTGTTTTATTGACAGAAAAGTGACTATTTTTTAAATAAGAAATTAAACACACAATCCTTAAGGAAAAAGTGTGATTACAATTCTTTAGTAATATTGGATTCAAGTTAGCAACAGCTAATTGTCAGATTTTGATTTTAAATAATCATATGAAACATTTTAAAACTTCTAACTTCAATTTTCTAAAAATAGATTTTATCAGTTACAAGCCTGTTTAAAACTATAGTAAGTTTTTTTTCTCCACTGATAAAGCATTTACAGGAAGGTATTTTTGTAGCATTCAAAAAGCATATATCCAGTAGTATCTTTACGTGTGGCTCAGCTTATTTCGAAACAAAATTTTTACTGTACATTTTGCCAGAAGGTCTTGACTCAACATTAGAATGAATCCTTTGGTTTTAAACTTGCTCAACCATTTTTTATCTATCTTTAATACGGAAGTCAAGTTGCTTTTGACTTAATTCACACAAGTTTCTGGATGTATAGTATTTGTCCACCTAGTAATAAGTGTTATATATTATACTCACGTAAAATTTCCCTTGGCTTTGATTTGGCTCATACCATTGGGATTTTTGGAACTGAGTCATCTTTATCTCCCTTCCTTCAAAATAATGTCATTAACTATGTGGATGCTGAGAATGCATTCTCATTTATATATCAAGAACTGCATATTTGCAGAGCAGTTAATATTTCTTAAAAGAAAAATATTTTTGAAATTTAAAGTGATGGTTTTGGTTTTTTGTTTTAACAATTTGAGGTTGAATTTTAAATTATAGTTCCCCCATTGTAAAGATTTAAACCTTCATATAATTTTTTTGACCTCTTTTAAGCTTAAATTAATTTTTTCACTATGTGGAGATTTTAGTGCCCACTTAAGTAGGTTTGTTTGAAAACTGTGAGAAAATAATTAGTCACCATGAGATAGGTTATTTTACTGTTTGTGTATTCTGAAGCAGGGCATTATAGAGTCCACCCCATCTGTCTTGTTCTATAACTATGTATTTATTTATATTCTAGCAGTTATATGAACTTAATTTGAGTTGGGAATGCTAAAGGTGTAACTTAGTGTGTATCTTGTACCAAGAGCCAATATCCTTTTGCTTTTCCCAATTGTTATTTGTCAGCTGTATGCTGGGGGACTGGAGAAATAAGAAATCAAAAGCAGCTTATAAATAAGCTGAGTCATTTTTGCCTGACATAATCATTGTCTAAAATTGTGTTTGGAGTCTAATAAGGTCATGTAATTTTAGGACCCAGTTTCACATTTTAAAAATAAAGACTTTTCTATTAGTCCAGTGAATAAAATGACTATACTAAAAAATTATACACATATTTATTTTTGGCTTAAATATTGGAAAATTGTTATGGAAAATGGAAAGGGAGTCTCACCGTGTCCCCCCATTTCAGAATATTTTGGGAAAGAGTAGGACTCCATTCACTTAAGGCTTTGGCAATATAATTTCTTCATTGATTCATAATATACAGGCAGAATTATCTATGTCATGAATTGTGAACTAGTTTGAAGTGTGGTCCAAAGGGATGTTGCCTCATTAAAGGTCAGATTCAATAAAAACTCCATCTGGTATATGTATACCAGAAAAGCACAGGAGTTGGATGGATTTTTTATTAAATCAGGCCTTAAACTTGTTAAGTAGTTTTTGCATTTTTATAAATTACAGTCAGAATTATAACATTTCAATACCACCACAAAAGTGCTTGGTTTAGGAATACTTTCTCTTAAAACTGAGATAGTGTGAAAGTTTTTAGATGGCTATAATAACATGCAAGCTCTAAGTTGCTGATCTTATATATTTGCAGCTTTCCAATTAGTTGTGATTCATAATTTAACGTTTTGCATTTGGAAGATAAAATTAAGTGGCATTTAGAAAATTAAATCTTTATTACTATGAGGCTGTGTTGTGGTTTCCTACCCTCCCTTCACCTTTCCTTCCCCTCCCACTCCCCTACCCCCACTGCCCCACTCCCTCTTAATGTACAAGGCATTAACATGTGTTCCAGGTTACTTTTTGGTATTAAATTCTGTATTAGTCAGCAGAATAATCTTTTTCTACACAGTTATAGTAACTTAGATCAAGTGTAGTTTTATATAGTGGTAGGTCTGAATCCATTTTCTTTAACTGTGTTGTTGTTGTAGGAATTTGCTCGCCCTGATACATCGAATGATAGAGTTTGTTGTACGTGAAGGGCCAATGTTTGAAGCTATGATTATGAACAGAGAGATCAACAATCCTATGTTCAGGTGTGCAATTTTTAAATTGTGGTAAAATACATATAACAAGAAATTTGCCATTAACAATTAACCATTGTTATGTGTGCAGTTTAGAGGCTTTAAGTACATTCATGTTGTTGTGCAACCGTTACTACCATCCATCTCCAGAACTTTTTTCATCTTTCAAAACTGAAACTCTGTACCCATTAAACAATAAATCTCCATTCCTCTGGTCCCCCAGTCCCTGACAACCACCCTTCTACTATGTGTCTCTATGAGATTGATTACTCTTGTACCTTGTATGATTAAAATCATATAGTATTTCCTCCTGTAGCTGGCTTATTTCACTTAGCATAATGTCCTCAACTTTCATCCATGTTGTAGCATGTGTCACAATTTCCTTTCTTTTTTTTTTTTTTTTTGTCTTTTGTCTTTTTCCGTGTCCGGCAATGGATCGCAACC